AACTCTGTTAGGTTTTTCTCTTTCTTTTTTTTTTTTTTAAGATTTTATTTATTTGTCAGAGAGAGAGAGAGCAGAAGCAGAGGGAATGGCAGAGGGAGAAGCAGGCTCCATGCTGAGCAAGGAGCCCAGTGTGGGACTGGATCCCAGGTCCCTGGGATCATGTCCTGAGCTGAAGGCAGACGTTTAACCAACTCAGCCACTCAGGCACCCCATCTCTGACTTTATCTTTAACCATGCATCATGTTCTGAGATGTGAAGTTGCCATTTTAAAAATTGTCTTTAACTTTTCTTTTGAATTTTCTTTAGCTCAAAAGTAATTTAGTAGAGAAATTTCAAATTTAAAATAGCTTTTAAAATGACCCTTCAGTTATTTAGTTCCAGGTTTTTTGCACTGAGGTTTGACAGAGAGTGATCTTTATAATTTTTTGCTTGGGAAATCTACTGAGATTTTCTATCAGGCTTATTATGTGATCCTTTCCCATAAATGTGTTAATGGTAACAGAAAATAGAGTACTTTTCCTGAGGTAAAAACTTTTATATCAATATCTAAGTAGCTAGCTATGGATATGTAATTAAAGCAAATAATTATAATATTCTTATATATTATTTTTGCCTGGGTAGTTGATCTTGTAAAGACAAAGAGAAGGCAATAAATTTTCTAAGTATTACTTAATTTCTGTGAATTATCCCTTGTATTCCTAAAAATGTTTAGTTTACATATTATAATTTTTTCTTATGTTTAAAATCACTGTTGATGAGGTAAAAATTATAATTATATAACATAAAATTATACACATGAATTTTATTTCCATGAGTTTTATGAAAGTGTTCCATAAAACCTATATAATTATCACCACAACAAAAGATATAGAATATTTCCATCAGCCCAGAATGTTTCTCATGCCATTTTGAACTCAATATCCCCCAAATCTCTATACCTCATACAATCAATGATGTGATTTCTATCATTGTGGATTCATTTTTCCATAGACAGATGGTATGTACTCTCTTGCATCTAGCTTCTTTCACTCAGCATAATGTTTGGGACATTTACTTATATTGTTACATATATCATATATAACTATTTGGGGGGGTTAATTGGGTATATTAGTTGGATATTAATTACAAGGCACTGGGGAAAAAGTGTTAAGTATCATTCCGTTATATACCAAAATTTGTTGTGTGGACATATGTATTATTTCCAGTTTGGGTTGTTATGTATGACACTCTTCTGAACATTTGTGTACAAGTGTTTCTATGACAGGTTGAAGTCATTTCTCTTGGATAAGTAGCTAGAAATCACATGGTGAATGCCTGTTTTAACTAAATCGACTGTGCCGGTTTACAAATGGCTATGCCATTTTATACTCTCCCAGCAGAAATTTATGCTCATTTGCCCTGCTCCCCACATCCTTGACAAGGCTGGATATTTTCAATTTTAGCCATTCTTATTATACTGTAGCAGTACCTCATTATCGATTTTAATTTTTATTCCCTTAATGATTGGTGGTAATTGAGGACCTTCTCATGTACTTATTAGTCATTGGTTTACCTTCTTTTGTGAAGTTCCAGTTCCACTACTTTGCCCATTTTTAATTGAGCACATTATCTTCTTGAGTTGTAAGAGATCTTAATGTATTCCAGATACAAGTCCTGCTCCCTTTTGGGGCACTGTTTCACTCACCTGCTCACACTTCTCTCCCTCTTGAATCTCTTCTTCTGTGAGAAGCCAGATGCCATAAAATGCGGCCACTCAAGCAGGCTATATGGAGGGGTCCATGTGTCAAGGAAAGGAGGTCTCTAACCAAGAGGCAGTGAAGATGGAGGCCTGTCAATGACCAAGTGAGAGAGCTCTTTAGAGGTGGTTTCTGCAGCTCCATTTGAGCCTAGATCTGACTCTAGAGCCAGCTGAGAGCTGGACTGCGACCTCAGGCAAGATCCTGAGCCAAAACTACCAGCTGAGCCTCTCCCAAGTAGCAGACCCTCAGAATTTGTGTGAGATAATGAATATTTGTACTTCTGAGCTGCTAAGTTTTTAGGTAATTTGCTACGCAGCTATGGATAACTAATATCCATCCAAACCATGACAATTCTACTTAATCCCAATTTTGGGAAAGCCTATTCAGTGGAGTTGGTTAGATGTGCAGACCTGAGTTCACTTTGGAAGCCACAGTTCCCAGAAAGGACACATTGTCAGAATTGTTTCCCCTGGTTTCCAAGCCCTGATCAGATTAGGTACAATAGCAAAAGCTGCTTCTACTCCAAACAAAATTAAGTCCTCTGTTCTTTTTTGTTATTGATGCTTTTTATCAACATCGCTTATCTCTCTCTGAGTTCTCAATGTTCTCCAACCTATAGCTACTCATTCACATTATTCTTTCTGCCTCTAAGATTTTCATGGTGGGTAGAAACCATTAAGTCCACGTGGACAAACCCACATTCTTGAATCTCCTCTATAACACCCCAAGCGGTCTCCTAGCTTATTTTTGAAATTTTGATATCACTATCTTCTGAGGTAGCTCATTCTATCTTTGGATCACTCTGACTCTTAGAAAATGCCTCCAATAGAGAGCAGAATCCACTTGCTCTGGTCACTTGTTTCACTTGGTTCTCAAGAGATTCAACTTGGGCAGATTCTCCAGGGAGCATTGGCTGTGACTGCGAACACATGTCTCAAGCTAGGACTGGCTAGTAATTCTTGGGATTTAAAGCAAATTATATTTTCTTTACTACAAAGCTCCTAGTATGACTTGACCTGACTTTATAAGAGCCATCTCATTACCTGGATCCATCCTAGACAATTAACTATTCATTCTCAAGAATGTCTCTGGGGTAGGGAGTAAGGCTCTTCAATTATTTGGATCCTCAGATATTTCTGTTCTTGGTGAAACTTGTCTGGATATTCCTGTAGCAACTGCTGCATGTGAGCGATAGGTAGAGCTAATAAACATCTTGCCCTTGTCTCTGGCAGGGCCCTGGGCCAAGCACTATAAATCTGGGCTTCATCTCTCCCTACTCAGATTTGCCAGGACAATGATAAGATTGTTTCCATAAAGAGGGAAGTTTTAGGCTTCCTGGAAAGCTTGGCTTATCCGTAGATCTAGGAAGATTGTAGGTATCGTTTTGTGCCTTCATAAAGATAGTCAACAAAACCCTGACTATAGTCCACAAAGCTATATATAATGTGGCACTTAACTATTGTTCCAGCCTCATTTTTCACTATGCTCTCCCTCTTACTCTTTGCTTCAATTTGTCAGAATCTGCATGTTCTTCCTACCACAGGGCTTTTCCACATACTGTTTCCATGTTCCAGAGTCCCCATATCTTCCTTATTCTCAATTAACTCTAACTCTTCTTTCAGTTCAGCTAAGCATTGCTTCCTCAAGGAAGTCTTCCCAGATGACCACACCCTGAGTCTAGGTTATAATTCTTTATTTCATTTCAAAGACTACATATATGTTTCTTTCACCTCACTCTTTCACTTGTAGTTTACACATTTATTAGCATGATTATTTAATTAATGTCTATCCCCCTTAGACTAAAAGTTCCATTCATATAGTAGCTGCATCCATTTTGCTCTCTGTCGTAATACTTAACATAGTGTCATGAGGTCATAAGAGTAAGACCCTCATAATGGGATTATTGCCATTATAAGAACCACCAGAGAATTTGCTCTTTCTTTTTCTTTCTGGCTTTCACTGTTACTGTTACAAAATCAGTTATCTGTTTAAGTGGTATTTGTTTGCAAGTCATCTGTATTTTCTCTCTGGTTGCTTTCAAGATCTTTTCTTTATCTTTGGTCTTTCACAATTTTGTTAAGTGTGTCTAGGTTAACTTCTTTTTATTGATTCTCTTTGGGATTCCTAGGACTTCTTGAATTTAAAGATACATGAACTTTTATGAGTTCTGGAAAATTCATATCCATTAGCATCTCAGTAGTGCTCCTCATCCATCTTCTCTATCTTCTCTTCTTGGTACTTGATTAGTTACCTATTAAACTTCACTCCATCTCCCAAGCTTCTTAACTTTTACAGTATTTTCTATTTCTTTGTTACCCTACTGTGTCCAGGGAATTTCTTTAAATTTATCTTCCTGATAACCAATTCTATCTTCACCTTTAGTACTCTATTTT